TAGGGAGCTGTGCTTGTCTGACAAGGAGATGGAGTTCGATAAATATTTGTTGAATGAATGAACAGATTCACATCAGACTCTGTTCACGTTGCAGTCTGGTTGCTTCTGCCCTTTCAAGCACTCTCACTTTTTCTATTACTTTTTTTTTTTTTAATCCACACATTCCTTCAGGGGTGTGCCAGCGGAGGGCAAAGCTCAGAAACACAGTGTGCAAGGGGCACGAAGTCCTTGCTTGGAGTGATTTTTAACAAAAGTTGAAAAATTGTAACATTGTTCATGTGGATAGTTGCATTTCTTTTCATTGTACCTAAAATGTTTGAAAATTAAAGTTTTTTTTGAAGATTAACAGAATACTTTTTAAAATGGCAAACCAAATGACAGTGCCAATTTTGTATTTAAAAATGAAAGTAAAGTGTGTTTCTTTAACTTTAGGAAAAAGTCAAATTGAGTTAGATGACCTCCATTTGGAGTTCATTAATGGCGATTCATTATGCAATTTTTTTCTTATTCTGTTTTGTCACTGTGAAGTTGAAAATAGGCTCCAGAATAAAAAATGTGATAGAAACTTTAATAGTTTTAAATTCTGGGAAAATTTCTCCCCCAAAGCACATTGTCCTTATTTTATTATTTCTATTTTTCTCACAACCTGAGCATTTACTTTGTTATTGACATAATTGTCCATGAATAAGAACAAGAAACACTTGCAAAATATTTTATTTTAAATGATAAGAATGACTTTTTTCCATTATTCAAATTAAAGGAGGCAAAATTTTGATGTTATTTTCATAAATTTACTGTGTCATTTGTGGTAAATTGTGCTGAAATCTTTGTATTTTTGTCCCCAAAGTTTTATTGATTTCACAGATTTACCTATTTTAACATCGAATTTATGGTAACTGGGAAAACTAATATTAATTCTGTTATATATTGGCTGGCTTTGTCTCTCTAAACCAAGGTTTCCTAAAGTCTTATTGATCAAGTCTTGTTGAAATTCATTTTTTCTGATATACAGAAAATTTATCAACGTTTATTATTCCTCATCAAAACAAGTTCCTGTAGATTTCTAATTATATTGTCTAATAAAACTAAACAATCAATGCTATTTGCATATTATATGAAGAAGTGTCATACAACAAACTCATAGCAGTCAATTAACATAAAAGCTAATTATATATCTCATCAACTTACAAGAGTTTCTGAATTCATGCTTCCCCTGTTGTAGCCTAGAGCAAAGGAGGTTTGAATTTTCACTTCTAAATATTGACTTTTAACTAATATCAGAAGTGATTTCAGTATTTTTATGGATGAAAAGTTAATGATTAAACTAGATGCAATATTTGCTACAATGCAATTAAAATTTCTACATTAGCTAAACCTCTAGAAAGAAAATCTTTGCAACAATGTGACAATATCAGTCACTAGGTAGGTTAAGTACTGGTTTCACATCTGAAGGACACTCCAAAATAACGATAAACATAAGTGAGATTTATCTGAGATTGCCAGACTGTTAGGAAAAAGATAGACCACAGCAACAGTTTCCACGTCCAATTGTACACTGTAACATAATTGTATTCCTGCCTGATTGTGATAGCTATCAAGCAAGAAATTTGCTACAAGATTAACAGAGACACAGTAATGAAGGAACATGGGAAGCACCCTGTAATTGACTGTTATTAAAGTGTTGTCAGAGTGGTCTGGAATAAATCCCTAACTCCACTTCTCCAGAGAAACCAAAGCCAAAACTTGCAACTACTTTTTTCCATTTTGAAGTTGGGACATGAGTCACTCCTCCCACCCGAGTTTCATTGCTCACATAACAAGCACATGGTCAGAAGAAGCCTAAAGGAAAAAAAACCAGACACTACATACACTAAGTATGATTTGGAATTGTAGGTAGGTTTCAGAATGGGAAGTTAGGATTTACTTTGATCAAGGTGTTCCAAGATAGCAGTGAAATTATAACAGATCCTTTTTATATTTATAACTTATACGAAATAAGTCCATGTGTAAAAGTAATGGCTGATAAGAAACTGTGTGCCCATGAGTCGGATTTCTCCCGATACAATGATGGCGGCCTTTTCCATTCATATTTTAATGAGGTTGGTATCTCCGAGACAGTGCTTCCAGGGCGGACTCAACGCTCCCCTCAGATGACAATAGGAGTTGCTTTATTGACAAGTACTATTCAATCTCTTCATAGTATAGAAAGAAAGGCTCGGTTTTATTCCACTTGTCCCAATACTTATTGCACTCATAATCAAAACACTTTGAGGAGAGAAAAAGGCTCAATTATTCTATGAACAGTCTTTAAATTTACTCAAAGTAGTTCAGCTAAGTGGAATCATTTTAAACTCTAATCATGTGCGTTTTGATAAATGTATAAAGGGCTGCAATGCATAAGCATCTCTTTCTTAAATATTTTCTTGCAAAATCAGATGCTTTGATTGGGACTTTTAAGATCTTTTTTTTTTTTTTTAATCTTCTGTAAAACAAATTCTACCAGTTTCGTGTTGGGTCTTTTTCCTTTTCTGCTTTTAGTGAAGACTGTAATGCAGCATTTCCTGAGCTGTCAGAAACATTTTCTACTATTAAAGAATGTTTACTCAAAAGAGCCAGCTAATTACATCAAAAAGCCAATCATCCTTCACAGATTTACAAAATTCATGTGTTGATTCCTTGACATGACATATTTCTGTTAAAATAAGGACAATGCTAACATATTCAAATATGCAAAATTACACTTTCAAAATAAGAAAAACAACCCTGTTTGGTGGAAATTTTTAACGTGGGGGTGTTTTTAAAAAGCGCCAACCCAGAAAATAAATAAAACGGCTCTCAACAGTCAGCTGGGGAAGGCCTTTCACACATTAACATTGTGATTTTGCTGAAAACTTACATGCTCAGTAATTTTTGTACACAGCTCAGAACGTTGGGTCAATTGTCAAAGGCAGTTTTGAGAGCGACCTAACTCCATGTGAGACACTGGGATGTACCAGGCTGGTGTCAGTGTGCACAAAGCGTCTTCCGGCCTCAGACCCTTCCCCCCTCCCCACCCCAAGTGTTTACTTTTGCGATTGGGCACAGAGGGGGACAGGGAAGGGGAGAGAGACAGGATTCTCGATTACTTAGATTTTTTACATGAGTCTACTTTTCACTTGGCAGTGAGATGCTGCTTTGTTGACGTCCAGAAAATACTATGGTAGATTTAATATGTATCAGATAAGCAAATAAACTTAAAGCTCAGGCATGGCAGGGAAAAACACAATCATTTTGTTAATAATCTGCCCTTGATTAATTGTAACTTAAGAATTTACCTTTGTGTTTTACAACTTTTTGGTCCCAGTACGTATTTAATCCTCAGTTTCTGTAAGTTAATAAAACAGATTTTCAGTTTTGTTTGTGAAGCTATTTTTTGTTTTTGCTTTTTACTGCTTCCAATGCTTGAAAGGCATAAATAAAATACAACTTGCGTTTGGAATGTGTACTTTAAGCCACTCACTTTAGAGTCTTTTGATTGTAGGCATTTTTTAAAATTAAAACATTCCTCAGTTTTAAAAAATTTGATATTTTAGTAAATTAATAAATGTTGTGATATATATTCCGGTTTAATAAACGATTTAACTGCATAAACGATTTAACTGCAAAGTGGAATGCACGGGCCTCGAAAGCAGGTCAAAACCGTCAAGCGGGGGACCAGGAGGGATGCGGCCGCTGCACGTGGCGGGGTAAGGCAGAGTTCCTTAGTGGTGTGTTTCTTTCGCTCTTTCCTCTTCCAGTGTTTCTTTAAACATATTTTTTTACAAAGTTGATTCCTTACTGAAACTAGGGGATGACGGCGGTGATGCTGGAGTGGTTTGTACTGGAAGCTGGATTTAAAAACACAGAGCGCACCGCACACCACCGCTGTGTCCTGTGAACCCTGCAGCCGGCCGCCCTGGTTTGGGGCCAGATGGCGGTGAGGCGCCGGGATCCTTTGTGCGCCCGGAGCGCGCATGTGAATGCAGCGCCGTCGTTGGCACCGGAAGGGTTCACACTGCGTCTGAAAGGGGACAATGGAGGCTGGATATATCAACATCGCAGAAATCGAGTTCATTTGTGATTCAGCCCCTTTCACCATGGTTGTCATGCAAACTTCCTACTTTGATCAGCAGAGGGTGGAGAGGGAAAAAGCCAGCAGAGGCCCGGGCCCAGCGCGTCCGCGGTGCCCTTGGCGGGTCCCCGCCCCCTTCCGGAAGGAGCCGCGGGGACGCAGCATCCTGCACCTTGACCTGTCTAGACAGTCCCCAAGTTTTTGTCTCCGTTACCAAGGGCGAGGGGTGCTCTTTGACCCCCGCGCGGGGCGGAGGTGGTGGCCAAAGGGTCCTCTGAATCCTCGCTGGATTCCGGAGGGAGAGGGGCGCACGGAGACGGGCACCAGCTGTTCCAAAAGACAGCGCAGCCCCGCCGGGACAGGGGCAGCTCCGTCAGCCTGTCTTCCTCTCTGCCCCACGTCCACCGCACCCAGGGGCGTTCGGCAGCTGTAGCGGAGAGGACCCACAGCGGAGAGGAGCCGCTGAGGAGGGCCAGACTTCGGGCTTTGCCTAACTTCTGAACTGAAGGAGAGTTCTGCAACGAGACAGGCGCGGGCTCGCTCTGGCTCTCTCCTCTCTCTCCCGGTCCTCTCTCTCTCCTCTCTCTCCCTTTCTCTGGCAAGTAGACAAATAATAGCCATGTTCTGCGCTTAATGCCTCATTCTGCATGTTCAATGACTTTTTAATATTATTGTCTGTATAAGTATACTTTCTAGTTTGAATATGTTTTTTTCTGTCCACTTTCAAACATATGCACTTTTTAAAAACCAGAATTTAAGATAACCTCTTAACTTATGTAAATAATTGTATACGTTTTATGTTAGGAAGTGAATACACGTTGGCTTTAGTGGGGGTGGTGTCTGTCTCCATATGCATTCACTGCAAGGTCTTTTAACTGATATTAACATTAAGGCCAGTTTCCTCCGCGTGCTGTTCTAACAGATCCCCTTAGCCCAGTCGGAGGCGTTCCTGACAGACCTCTTGGATAAAGTGTGCGAGCGAATGAATGACTACAGGCTTGAAGAAGACCCTGTGACTAAGGAGAAGACTTTCAAGAGATTTGCTCCAAGGAAGGGAGACAAAATATACAAAGAATTTAAAAAATTCTATTTTTATTCTGATGCTTACAGACCTTTGAAATTCGCGGTAAGCTCTTTTCGCAGACGAATCCTATGCTCCCTGAACGTGTCTTTTTCGCTATTTGTTCCCGTTGTTGTTGAGTTTCATGACATTGGACATTAAAATGTTAGCTCTTTGCTCTGTTGTCCTTCTGCTTTTTCAGTGTTGACCCTGCGTTTAGTAACTTGCCTTTTGAGACACCTAAGGGGCTGTGGTATTTCTCTCAGTGGAGACAGTGAAGTGATATTTTCCGGAAAGTGTGTTACAAACCCCAGTGACTTTAAGACACAGTTTGCACGGTGCTCTGCTCCTGTGGGGACGTGGGGAGGAGTCTCCGCCATCCTCGGCCAAGGCAGGTCTCTCACAGTCCCCACGTGAGAAATCAGGGCTGAGGTTCCTAGGCTAAAATCCAAATGAAAATGAAGGTCGTTTTCAAATATTCATAGCCCAATAATGAAGGGAGAGTGATGCTCTTCATCTTTTTTCCCCCCTAAGGCTTCACAGGAGAATTTTTTTCCTGAGTTAATTCAAGTATTTTAGCAAAAACTAAGTTAAACAAAGGCTTAAGTATGGTAGTTGGCTTAATGCCAGATTTCCTCCCAGTATAATGTTTATTTTAGATGAATGCTGGCCTCTGGCTTGCAAGAATGTGCCTGGCAAAACGTATTGCAATGTATTTCACTTTACTTAACACTGTAGAATCAGACAAAGTGATGGGAAAGCCTGTTTAAAAAATGTATTAAGTTCATGTATTGGCCAAAATGTCAGGCATGCTGAAACCCTGAAATAAGGGCTTTAGCTGGCTTTCAAAGATTTCATTTTAATTAAAAAGTAAAGGCAATAATTCAGGGTTAAAAGTACTGTGGAGTACGAATTGCAATGAGTAAGTGTGCTTGTATTTCACAGCTTTTAAATAAACACATTAGAGTGGAATTTAAATATTTTTAAATATCATTTAAGATTTTTAGAGTCTTGCTTAATGAACTCAGAAAATGATTTACAAGTCTCTAGAGAATGCCCTTCAGTAGCTTCGCAATTCCTAAAAGTGTAACCTTGTGATTCTCTAACGCAGACACATACTCCAGTTAGAATTTAAGATTTTCAAATGCAAAGGGCTGTTTTAGCTGCCTCTTCTCTGAAAAGTCAGATTTTGGGGGAGAAGCAAGGTGATTTATGGATGGATCTCTAAATGGTATGAAAAGAAACTTCTCTAAGTAGCTGTCAAGCGTGTTATCCACAGTGAAATTGAAGATGCATTTGTTTTGATTGCTGGGAAAGCTTAATTGTTTTCACACTTCAGACCCTGTTTTAAAACCACAAAATGGATTATTATGTTAAATCTGAAAGAAACTGGTTTAACCACTTCAAGGAACTGTGTTCTTTAAAGTGTTCTGAAAAAGCAAAAACCAAAACTAAGACTTTTCAGCTCCTTAAATAGACCCATTTCTTCCTATTCCTAGAATTGCAGTTTAAGGAAGAGAAACAAATACAAAGAACCATTTTCCTTCCCCACCCTCGTCTTTCAACACTGCTAATCAGTTAGTTAAGTCCCAGGAAAATGATGCAATTAACATTCTGGGAAGAGGGTTAATCCAATGCAATGATGTCCTTAAACCAAAAGGGCTAATAAAAACGGACCGTGTTGGTAATGTGATTTTATGTTTTTAGCTAACAAAATGTTGACAAGTCCTTCCTAACAAGATGCCCTGTGCGTGCACATCTATCCACATATGTTATTATTCTGTTTCCACAGTGCGAAACCATAATAGAGGAGTATGAAGATGAAATATTCTCACTTATCGCCCAGGAGGCACACTCCCTCGCTGACGAGCTGTGCAGTGAAAAATCAGGTACTGTGTCTGATGTAACATGGGCCTCGGCCTCGCTCACCCCTCTCTCTCACTCAGCGTTGCAGCAGCTTTTTTCCAAACCAAGCCTGCCGTCTCCCTGCAACCAGCCGTTCTCCACTGGATCCGAAACGGCACCATGTGAGAGAACACAAATACACAAAACCACAGAACGAGGGGGCTTTCCTCTTTGCGCTTCCTTTCTGCTGCACTTTAATTGAATTCAAAAATACTTGCTTTCCAATTGTTAAGGAGCACATGCTCGGTCAGAATTGGATAGATACAAAGCACTTACTCTTTTCAAACTTTTAGAGATTGGGTTCTCCATCCTGGCCCAGGACAGGAGAAGCTCCTTATGACTTGCCTAGTTACTACACCAACAGAAGGTGGGATCTTTATTTAGTAAGAAATTTTAAAAGTTTTTTTGTTTGTTGGGGAGGGGTACTGGATATGTTTTTTTCAAGTTCCTTTCCCAGAATATTTACTTCTCAAAAATTTTTTTCTGGCAGAGAGTGGAAAATAATACTTGACTCATATTCTTAAACATATACCTACACACACACTCAGAAGCTAGAAAGAATTTCCAGAACTCGATTTCCTATATACAAAGTGGATATGTTACCACCATTGACCCTCCCATCTGTTTGGTTGAACATGCACCATCCAGTCGTGTATCATTTTGATACATGGTTAATGCATTTCCAGGAATGTAGCGCGAACTGCACATTCCTTTCAGATATCTTTGAAAAAAATGAACGCTATATATGAAGAATGATTTCGAGCTGGGGGAGTAATTGCAGTTCTGCGACTGTCAAAGCCTGAGACAATACATCATTTGTCAGTTGTTTGTAATAAAGTATAATACACCTGCATCCACAGTATCAAATTTAGTGCCAAAGTCCTTAAAATAATAATCCTGGACATTCGTAGATAAATATTTATGTCATCAAAAGTTATTAAGCAAGAAAATTCTAAGTCCCCATTAACAGAACCGAGTTTTCTTATTCTGAGTAGAGACTGGGGTTATTTTCTATTTAAAACCCAGTTTGGTTGGGATTTTGAAGAAGAGTACACTGAAATGACACAGTCAGGATTATTCAGGAGTTTGAGAGCTTTTTCCATTGATTTTGGATACTGTTGTAATCTGTGAAAGTCACATAAAAAGTGTGTAGCCGCAGTTTCCCAAAGAAAGTATTTTTGAAGTTTTTAAAACAATTCGCAGATGTATGTATGCATTAAGATATAAGCAAAAATGTGATGAATGATATCGGAAATATTTGTTTCCTATTTTTTCCTCATAAAGGGTTTGGACTGGTCATAATTATGTATGGCAAATGCAAATAATTTGCTCTGTGAACACATGTTCAAATATTGCAGAAGGACTTGAGAAGTTTCACCAACTCTTTATGGCAGTATTGCCCCAAATACTAAGATTCTGGGGAAAGACTGTTCCCAAGGGCAGCAATTTGACTTAATTTAAGTAATATCAACTATCTCTTTTCATTTCTTCTACATATTTATAATTGGAAATAAAAATTCCCATTAACCTCAAGAAAATACAAGCATAAAGCATAAACCTAAGGTATGTACAATGTGACTAGTATAAAATAAAACATGATTAGATAATTAATTCTTAGTAGCATTTGATTTTTAAAAACTGCTGAAGGAGTTACACTATACACATCAATATGAGTGCCTTAGAGCTGTGGAGAATGCGAGGTGACCGCTCCCAAGAACCAGCAGCCACGTGCTGCAGCACTGTGAGGTGGACCGAGCTTTTTCAGGTTACGTTTCTCTATGAAACATGTTTGTGGATGTCCTAAACCATTCATAAATTTAAAACTGAAAATAGGTTAATCCTAAAAAGAGATTAGACTTCCGCCCGCCTTCAACCCCCCTCCTGTTGAAGGAAGTTTAATACCACATAACAAGTAGAGAGTTTTTTCAAACTTAAAAATTATTACCAGAAAAAGCTAAAGCAACACATCAATGAGAAAAATTCTGATTAATGCCTGCAGCGACAGAGAAGTGATGTGTTTTAACATATTGAGATGGTTTCAGATAACCCTGTGCAAGGTGAGACTCTCGCATGGTAGAAAACCTCCTGATGCCCTCACACGTCATCTGAAGGACGAGTGTAGTCAGTTTCCTACGCTAGCATGACACTCAGACTCTGTTTTGTCAAAGTGACACTTTATCTTGTTCTGTTGGACAACAACTTTGCTATGATTAGTCTCCACAATTTAAATGATGTTTTAAAGATATAACTCTGTGTGTGTGTATGTGTGTGTTTGTGTATTGGACGTTGTGGAACTACATTAATGAATAACTCTTTCCCCAGTGTATACGATGTGCAAGATGCTGTACTGAGGGCTGTTAAAATGTCCACAGATTGCTTTTAGGGAGATAAATAATTTTTTTAAAAATAGATATTTCTAGAACTAGAGGTTTGATTGGAAGGTTAGTCCCTCTCTATACTTTATATATATTTTATATATATGCATAGATATGTATATTATATATATGAATTTTGCTTTTTTCTCTTTAATGTAGATCATTTCACTTTATTTTTAATAACTACATGACAGGGGATGAGGCACATTCACAGATTTTCTTAAATTTCAGCTTTACTGAGGTATAATCGACATGAAATTGTGAGGGATTTACAGTGTACATTGCGGTGATTTGATATGTGTCTCCATTGTGAAACAATCCCTCATCTGGTCAATTAACACGTGTATGACTCTTTAAGTCTAAGGTTCACCCTCTACACACAAATAAATAAATAGAGAATAATGGAGGAAACATATCTTGTTAATTTAACATCCTAATGTTAAATTTAGGATGATTGTGTTAGAATTTAAAAATAACACGTCAGTGAGGTTCCCGTAAACATTGTGCCTCATCTTTTCGATGAGTGAAAACAGTCTCAGGGAAAGGCTACAGGACTGCAGTTGGATCTGTGGGTGCACTACAGTCTTGCTCACTGGATAGAATCAAAGTTTTCAAGCACTCCCTGTTCTTGGGGTGTGAGACAGAGTAATAGGGGTGGGGGGTTATTCCTATGTAATCTCGTTTTTTCCTAGGCGAAAAATAAAAGTGAGTTCATTAGATTTTCCTGGTGGAATATTTTGTGGCACATAACCCAGGCTTGTCTGGATTGTCATTTTAATGTCTTGAAGTCAAAATGGTGTTTGAAAATCTTAATAAGAAATACGGCATGATTAACAGTATAGCTATCTTCCACTCAAGGAGGAGGACATATCACCCTGGATTATGAGTAAATGGATACTCTTAGGTTTGTGGAGGTGTTCGTTAGATAGAGTGTGTGAGGGTATAAATATAAATACATAAATAGATTCTGCATACAAATCACTTCTGCTTTGATAGCAAATCTTAACATTTACAAACATCAGACTGATGAATTTGTCTGAACATGATCATTCTGAATGCAACCTATGGAATGAGTATCTAGAAATGTTTACTCTACATTTAAAGTAAAAGCATTTTCTACCTTTTTGTATAGACTTCCCAACACTACTAGGGGTGTTAAATTCTAATATGCAAAACAATTGCTTTCAAAGGCTAGCATGTTTCCTATTTTAAATAAATTGTGTAGCTAAAATAATCTATAGCCTTTCCAAGGAGAGTTGGCATAATTGCTTGCAGTTGGAAAAGTAGTATGTCTGAGAGCATCTCGTTGCTTCTCTGCTCCTTGGATTAAATGCCAAGTGTACTGGGCCCATATGGAAAGTATTCCTTAAATACTTCCAAGGCCATGGGCGAAATGGTACAGTCCCTGAGCTTTGTTTTAAAATACTCCAGGAAAAATTCCTGGAGGATAGGAGAAGAATAGCAGAGTGTTGCCCAGTGTTGAGGCCAGGTTTGGGTTCAGAGGGGTAAATTATAACCTTCTTTCTGCTTTTGTGCATCTCTGAAAATTTCCATAATAAAAAAGTTTTTGAAATGTGCTTCCACAAGAACGTGCCTTTTGCAGAAAGACAGTGGCTTGTGGGCTGGTATTAAATGTGATAGTGATGCTCTCCCCCTTTTTTTTCCAGATCTGTGTGAAACTTCTACTGCTCACGCTGAGCTCTAGGAGTGAGGGTGCCCTGGTTAGAGGGGAGTGGAGTCCCAGCTCGAGGTGGTCGTCTGCAGCTGTGTCTTCATGTCTCCTCCTGGGAAGAAATCTTACATCTCTTACTTATACCACGTTATCTCATGTGTGAGGTTGTATGAAAATCTGTTGGGCATCATGACAAACCCGATTCCCTCTCCAGGTGAAGCTGCAGAGTGCGTAAAACAAATTACCTTTGAGGATTTTGATACAAATAGGCTTGGCAGTAAAGCATTCAATTTGGTAAAAGGAAAAAAGTGAAGACACTTCATAAATGAAATAAGGATTTAATAATGTATACTGTGTATTTTATGCACATATACAAGTATAGTGTTCTGTTTGATAAGAACTTGATTTGACTTCTTAAATTTTGATTGGTCATGAAATTAAGAAAATATATTGCCACAAATTCCAGATTATGTCTTCTGAGTTTGTATGGCTATTGGTGAAAGAAACGAACTCACTTTATATCAGGAATGAAATTTAAATTTCTAGAAACCTTAAGTTTAAAAACTTTTTAATCTCTAAAATTTAATTGAATGTGTAAAAAATAATGAATACTTTGCTAGTGAACAATAACTATATTGACCTTTCTTACACATATATTTTGAATTCAAGTGATTTAGAACGTTGATTTATTATTACATCATGTATTCTTAAAAGATGACACCAATGACCATGTTTTGTTTGGCTGCAAGCTCTCCTGTTGTGTTTTTGTTTTTGAAAGACTTTCATCTGGCATTTGGTGTGTAGATTTTACTACTGACTAACCCATCCTTCTTCTGTGCAGGTGTTTTTGTAGGTGTAGAGTTGGAAGGAGAGGTTGGACCTTATGGGAAGTTACCTTTTGACCACAACTCAATCCCGGAGTGTAGGAAAAAGAGCTCTCGGACAGCTCTTTGTCTCTGTTAAATTTCGTTTGATGGAATCTGACTTTAATTATTTAAAATGTCAGGGCATATTCTACACTTGTTTTAAAAAAGAAATTCTCATTGTTGTCAGTGAGAATTTATGGGGTAGGATGATATAAATTTTGCTGCTAAAGAGCAGAAACTATTTGCCATATGTTACATTATTGCCTAGAAAGCACACTATTTAAACCACTCAACTGACTCTTCAGGAGGAAACAATTCTTAAATTTAGGAAAATTTACCAAAATTAAGAGAAAGAGGTTTCCATTTTCCTCCTGCCCACCCCAACTCTTATTAAAAGTCATATTTTTATGTTAATGTCACTTATTTATTTGGGAAAACTAAGAAGGTGTGTGATTTTTTGGTATGTCTGTAGCTTGTTAAGTAGTATAGATCCTACATATTATAACCCAATGAACCTTCACTGCAGCTGGTATAAAGTGGGAATAGGAATTAAGAATAATTAGCACCATTTTTCAGTAGTGTAGTAAATTTATTTAAAACAGAGTCCCTATGTCTTTATGTAAACTTATCTATTTAAGATTAATTTAGCATTTCAAATAGTATAAACATCTTCCTAACTTAGGCTTTCTTGGTAAATGCACTAAGCAGGAACATTATTTCTTCACGGGAACATGGTGGAGACGCCAGCACGAAGTTTCCACTAAAACTGTGGCATTTGTCATTGTTAGAGGTGTTGCACCAGGCCTTTTCATACTCTCCTTGATCGTCCTTACAAATTCTCAAATATAGACAATACTAATGCCGATCATAGAATTGAAGAGAATTTAGGTTCCTGTTTACAGCCTACGTCGACATGGAGAGATGTGCCTTCTTTCCACTGATGGGTGTTTTTCATGGATGTTGGTGCTTTTGCTCTGACTGGAGAGAACCATGCATCTAGCCTCTGACGGCGAATATCTATTAAAGTTTTGCTAACTATGACTTTTTAGTTTTTTCTCATTTCCTAGTAAAACTAGTCTTGTCTCTTACAAGTTTTGATATCTCATGACTTACATATTTTTTCATTCCAGAAATTTTTTCCTGATCAAACTTGTTAAATTCAGGTAAATATTGTAGCCTACTGAGTGACTGATTGGAACCACAGTGGAGGCGCAGGCGCACACACTGCGTTCTTATGGCCGCAGTGACTCTGCAGGTTCCCTCTGGGTCGCGGTTAGGCTGCGTCGCTTTTGCTGATGAACAATAATGAGAGAGAGTAGCTGCTGTTTTAGCATCCCTCCCAGCCAAATTCCTGCCTTTTTAATGACATTTATTGACCCCAAACTAAACAAAACCCAAAAGCCAGAAAAACAAAAGAACATCTAGGGTGTGACAGAAAAGTTTCTCAGTCAATTAAATGCAGCCTAATTCTAGGTCGAAAAAAATTCCTGGAGAAAAAGGTTTTGGGGGGGGTATAATGCTTATTAAAATAATGAGGTGGGAAGACATGTTTGAGGCGGATGGTTTCAATTGTACTTCTGTGAGACGGTTTCTTTGGGTCTCCACGGAAGACTTCTGTGAAGCTGTTCTCAGAAAGAAAAGACCAAATTGGCTGAGATGAACAGCCAATTTTGTTATATTTTGTTATGTGAATTACTATTTGCTAAGAATAAGCCAAGACCAATGAATCCATTTCACTGAGGAGTGGCGAGTGGAATTGAGCCAAAGTCCCAAACAGGAGAGATCAATACTTTATTTATTAAGACAAGCCCTAAAAAAAATAGAGTCAATAGCTGGTTATAGTTTTTATACCTATTTCTCTGCTTAGGTTGATATTTATTCATGTATGTAATAGCTTTATCTAAATAAATATTTTAAACTATACATCAATCTTAAAATTCAGATTGTAACGGAATATGAGAAAAAACCATTCTTAGATGTGATTCTGTGGCCTGTTTTAAAATTTGATATAAATCTGTGAGCTAATCTTAAATGAGCTAGTCTTAAATCTTAAAGCCTACTCAATGGCTTATTGCATAGTTTTACACCAAAATGAGATTAACAATGATATTAAATCAGCACTATAAAAATATACCTGTTAGACACAAGTGTGTTTTTATTATGATTTTCTGTGCATAATTGAATTCTCCATTATAAGTGTCTTAAATTACTCAGATTATTTGCTTTTAGAACAAGGAACTAAATAAATAAAAAATCGAAGGTGATACATGAAATTGAAATATAGAAGTCGTAAAACTCATTGCCCTTAAATTACCTAGGAAAAGTGGCAGGAAATGATACTGTTCTCTCTGGGAGTCCCAAGTGCTGCCCCTTTGCCCTAACCTTGCATTTGCTGAGGAGGAAGGGTTCCCTCTTTTAGTTCCTTCTTCAGGATCTGCCCTGCATGACAGAGATGGTGATTAGATTTAATATAATATCAGCTCATTTGTCTGTCAGGCCATTACCTGAAAAATCAAGCTTCGCTTCCTAAAGATGTTAGTGGAGTGGGCTTCCAGCTGTACCCATCAGATACAGCTCTCCCGTCCTCCAGATTCTCGGGGGATTCGAGATGGATGGGCAGATAGAAACACAGACACGTAGATGCATGCATACAGTCCTACATACACAGACATGGATCAAGTCAGGACATGGGGGGTTCAGCTGAAGATCTGACTGCTCCAGGGTGGAGATCTCGGAGAAAAAGTGTCCAGAAATTTCTTTAGTTCCTTAAAGAAAAAATATCCCTATGCTCCCTATCTTGATTTTCAAGATTTTCAAGAAAGAAAAAAATACTCTAAATTATAACACACATGGAAAATACTCTACCCTACCACAGCAAGATATTTACAAAACATACTCAATCTGTTAAGAAATTACTGGAAAACAAAGATGCTATGAGGTTACATTGGAAATATATTAGACTCATTATAATATAGCTCATTATTATGGAACACAGATTTCAAGAAACTGTGTGTCAAAATTGTATCCCCCAAGATACAATAGTGCAAGCAGAGCCCCAGTACAACGAGGTGAACAGTTAAACAGAACAGAGTCGTGTTCCGTCAAAACACAGGGTAGAGGAAGTTCCTGAGCTGCAGGCTTGGTTGATCTGTGACGCAACTCAGAGGCATACGTGCCTGCCTTAGAGCTAATAAAGATTCTAGTAACTTCCTTCTCCTTTTGGAAATGTTAATAAACCAATATCTAAGGCATGCAAGTTGCATAATGGAGCGGTAGATGCCCAATGTCAGCTAATTAAGCATGGCCGGGACTCGGAAAGATCCTGTAAGTGATAAGATAAAATATTAACACCAATTTCTAACTTTATGAAAAGCAAGGTTGGCATATGAAGAGTTAGAACGTACTCCTGACATTTTATATTAAGAGTTTTCTTCAAAGCTGCTCTCTGAACAAGTGGGAATTTCTCCACAGCATATTTTCTGATATTGGCCGATAAAGGGCGATGCTAATCCTTGAGATGACACCATTGTTAACAGAGAGAGAGAGAAGATTTCAATCAGGTGATTTTCATTGTCTGATAGAAATGATCTTTACGGCTTTGTTGTTCTTCATCCAAGGGTCCTGATTAAGCACCTTCATGCCCTGTGGTTTGTAGAAGAAAGCAGAGAACCAAAAAATAGACTATTTGGTCCCCATTAAAAATGGACCCTATTTAAAGCAACACGGTATTAAAACAGTAAAATCTAATACAGATGCAGGTTCAATAAGTGTTATTAAATTATTAGACCTTTAGGTGAAAATATACCCTTGAACTGCCTTTATATGCAATCAAAGCCGTGATTAAATATTAATGCCCTAAGATTAAAGGGTCACTTGAGTGTTTTTTTTTTTTAAGCAATACCCCCAAATGGTGAAGAGGAGATGTTGCAAATTAGCTACATTTTGTATACTTTGTGGGTGCTAAAACCTGGACCAATTTTGGGAGTGAAAACCCCGCGGCTGTGGGTCAGCCATGCATAGGCCAGGTCCCGTGTGCCTGCAGCTGTGTGTGAGTCTCTCAGCAACCACAGAGAGCTCAGGGATTCTTGTGTCTGCCCATTAGTGCTGTCTCGAGGTCCTCCTGTAAAAAGGTAGAAGCGAATGGGAACAACGCTGGTGTTAGAACAAACGCCCTTAAACCAAGCTGAGGAAAAGCTGCTGATTTTCCGTACTAATGGGTGTGATACACTGAGCCTTAAGAAGAGAATATATATATATGTATGCATATATATGTATATTTTAAAAAAAAAATTTTTTTCTTCTACTTGATGACTGAGTCTCAAATCCAGCAAAGCCTTAGTTTCTCTAGTTCCTGTGATTTATTCCCAAACCACAGAAGTTTTCTCTCATGCACTAACACAGCAACCACACAGTCACCGCATTACTCAGAGCGGGAAGCAATGGGACCAGAGACCCCCACCACTCTCCTGGGGAGGGCAGTCACGTGACCCCCCCCCCACTCTGGCTGGCCTGGGCCAGCCCCTGGGGCAGCTGGCACTGAGGGGTGGGCAGGTGAAGGGGAGCAGGGCCCAGGGTGATGGCCCCTTTGTCTGTCTGTGGTGTTGGGGATTCTGGGCTATCCTGCGTCCTTGCTCTGAGCAGCCTGTGCCCTTGAGCCCCGGCTGTCCCTGTTCTGAAT